AAAAAAAAAAAAAAAAAGTATTGACCCATGCTACTTTAGTTTTGTGTATTTCACTGTACATAAATTATATTCCAATAAAATGCATTTTTAAAAAAAGACATTTGTATGTGCAGGGAAAAAAGCATGGAAGAATTCATACCAATCTACTTCCATAGTGATAGCGCCTTGGAAACTCAAGGAGGGGTCGCTATGAGTCAGGTCCAGCTCGACGGCACATAACAACATCATCATCAAAAGAGCAGTTATCTAGCTGTAGGGAATTTACTTTCAAATTATCCTTTGAATATGTCTGTATTGTTTGTGTTTTATTTTTTTTTTAAAGTATGCATTGATTTATGATCAATAAATAACATAGAAATCTCAGTCTCACTACTACATAGCAGAGTTGAACCACAAAAAGATACTGTTATAAAAAACAACTTCTTCAGTATAAGGATAAAAGCCCGTGTTATTACCTTGATTTCTCATTGGGATAGTCAGCATAGCAAGGTATGGTAACAGCTGAGTTTGGAGGCATAAAGCTGGTAAGCAGAAGTCAGAAAAAAGTGCTTTTGCTGCCAGGCAATTCTCTCGATACTGTACAAGGAAAACATTTCAGAAATGGAAGATGAAAATACAGTTACGGTTCCTAAACAAAGTTTATTATACTACAATAAACAATCTCCCAGATCCGATTTCTAAGTATCATTCCCACTAAAAGGAATCAGAAATATATTCATAAATACAAAGATACTACACATTAATTTTTAAAACTTTATCTAATAAGACCTTTACAACCACTCTAGCATTATCTGATAATGCATTTTAGCTATATATCTATCTCACAGTTGACATAGCAGCAGTAAGAATTTTTTAAGAGACTATACATAAGAATAACAAACTTAAAAATCAAAGGAATTCTGCTTATGAGCATACAGACATCACAAATTACATTATGTTTCTCAAATACATTCTTTTAAAAAGGCTCCATATGGTATTCTAATTTCACATTATGCAACTTATTAGAGTGTACTTTGAGTTCAGCCTTAAACATTTTCCTAAATCCTCTGAAATATCCATGCTTACCTGTTAAATATTTTAAGTTCACACAAAGCACAATCCTTATCTTCAAGGAGCTTACAGTCTGCAGTTGGGTACTTACCATGCATATTTTAAGGGGACACATGCTACTTGGCCCTAGCTGAATGTTGCCATGTAGAAATATGGGCTTACTTTCCATTTCTTTCAGGAAATTCCAGAAATGCAGAAGCCAAAAATTCATATTTGAATTATATTTATTCTATCAATTTTTAAAGACTGGTAATTCATTTAAAAAAGGAAAATCTGTTCCCTATATTGTATTCAACTTGTGGGCCACCAGCTTTTGGCCTCTAAGATAGTCCAATCATCTACACCTATAGCTGAGAAAACCAGAAGCCTATTAGGTGAAGTAATCTGTCTAGGTGATTAGAAGCAAAGCTAGAATACTAAATCAAAAACAAAAAATAATTACACCTGTATTTGATTTCAATAAAAGTCAATTAAGAAAAGGGTATGTATTATCAAATTTTGGGTGTTTTTTTCCCTTAATTTGACTGAGATTGTCCTTTCCATAACCCTAAGAAAACTGCAGGCCTTGGAAACTATTTCTTGCTAAGAATGAAACATTTGTCCTCTTTCTCGCTCTTTTTTTTTTTTACCTTTTTACTTATTAGAAACCACTGAGGTTTGTGCAATGGTCGAAAACTTGATCCTCCTCCTTGGCAGTGAGCAAATCCTCTTGCTTTGTTGGAATGTATCACACCTCTTGTAGCTATCGATGTACTATATTCCCTGACGTAAGAGCGTGTCTAACAAATGAGACAAGATATGAAATAATAAACAAGGAATTTATAAAATAGTAGTATGGGTACTACTTATACCAAACAGACTCATCACATTTAGTTACTATTCACTTTTTCCAACATCACCAAAGCCCTAATAATAATAGTGCTACAGAATTTTAAAACAATACAGCAGACAACTGAGACATACCAACCAAATGCAATGTGTGAACCCTTACTGGGTCTTGGATGTGGGTGACGCAAACACAAATACATTTTTAAGGCAACTGGGAAAATCTGAATAGGGACAGTATATTGCTGAATTAATGTTACCTTTTTTAGGTATGATAATGCTATTGTGGTTGTAAAAGAACAATGTCCTTACGTATAGGTAAACATTAAATGTCATGATGTTTGCAATTACTTTCCAATTGTTTAGCCAAAAGAAAGTGTTCAAATACATAAAAGGATATTAAGCAAATATGTTAAAATGTGAAAAACCAATGAACAAAAATTAAGGATAGATACACAACAGTGCATTAATCAGTAATGTTGTTGTTATGTGCCATCAAGTCGGACCCGACTCATAGCAACCACCCGCGTGGGTTTCCAAGGCGGTATCACTACAGAAGTAGACTGCCTAATCTTCCTTCCGAGTAACAACAAACATTAATCTATGGGTAAACACACAGGTTGACAAGCTGAATGATCACATATTGTCTAGGCAAAAAGGAATATACCCATGACCATATGTAACTTTGGCAGATCATATGTCCACATATGTATTTGTATGTGCTATAAGAATGTCCATATATGCCATGGTTACAGGGGACATCAAGCTCAACTGGCATAACACACTACACAAAAACACTGTTCCACATCCTACTTTGGTGAGTAGTGACTGCAATCTTAAAAGCTTGCAAGCAACCAGCTAGATGCAATGATGCATTATCTCCTCATCCAGAGCAAAGAAGAATGAAGAA